GAAGCCGAGAGTTTATTTTTGGAGGAGCTTGGATCCAAAGTGGCCCTTAATTACCACCCGCCTGGGTGGCGCTGCTGGAGCGCGCACTCTTCCTCTCGCAAAAGGTTGAGTGTTCGAATCCCGGGCGCCGCAGGGTGACTTAACCAGTGGCACGTGTGTGGTGGCTAGCACGTGTCGCCCCCAGGGTTTACTCCTCGGCTGTCGGCCGTGCGGGGGTTCCCTGGGTTACAAAAAAAAAAAAAAAGTGGCCCTTAATTTGAAAACTAAAGCAGTTGGGAAATCCAATGTTAAAGAATGTGCAGGCTTGCCGCTTGGAGTCATCATGATGGCAAGAAGCATGCGAAGAGTGACCGATATGTTTGAATGGAGGGATTCCTTGGTGAAATTGAAAGAATCAAGTATGGGGCAAACAGATATGGAGAAGAAGGTCTTAATGAATCTAAAATTCAGTTATGATCGCCTTGGTAATCCTGATGTCCAACAATGTTTCTTATCTTGTGCACTTTATCCAAAAGATGAATTGATTGATAAGTTCGAGTTGGTAGAATTCTTTACTGACCAAGGATTGATTGGTGGATTGAGTACGAAGAAGAAACAATATGATAGAGGCCTCACCATACTGAACAAACTGGGAAATGTTTGTCTATTGAAAGCTCACGGGAGCAAGATGAAGATGCCCAATTTGATTCGAGACATGGCATTGCACATCATGAGTGCAACTTCCATAGTAAAAGCAAGAAAGTGGTTGATGAGGATTTTGCCTGAAGAATATTGGACGGATGCTTTGGAGAAAGTTTCTCTTATGCGTAATCACTTTATAGAATTTCTATTGAACATGTCACCAAATTACCCTAAACTATCAACTTTTCTATTGAATAATAGCTTGAGGGGGATGATGTCATCCCTGATTCTTTCTTCAAAAATTTATGGGGGCTAAAGGTTCTAAACCTAAGTGGATGTCCTCTAACAGAACTTCCAAATTCCATCTCGGACTTGGTAAACATGAGATCACTGTTGCTTAGAGAGTGTTGGGCATTGCGCCATATTCCTTGTTTAGGGAAGCTCACATCTCTAAGAAAGTTAGACGCTAGTGGCTGTCGTTGGCTTGAAGCGCCCAAGGGTTTAGGAATGTTGGTGAACTTGAGATACCTTGACCTAGATCTTCCATTTAGATGAAGATTACGCAAAGGAGCACTGAGGGGTTCACTAAAATTACAGTATCTTAAAGTTGTGGGGGGGGGGGGGGAGGGTCTGAGAATGTTGGTGAACTTGAGATACCTTGACCTAGATCTTTCATTTAGACGAAGATTACGCAAAGGAGCACTGAGGGGTTCACTAAAATTGCAGTATCTTAAAGTTGGGGTAGTGAATGGAGAAGACATTACAAAATTGGGGGCATTGGAGACACTTGAATGCTACTTTGAACATGCGGATGATTTCAACGAGTGTATAAGGGTTATCGAGCAAAGTAATCATCGCTATTACTATCTCTCTGTGGATCAAGAAGAATCATTGTTTGATGTGAAAGTAAGTAATGATGCTCAATTTGGAAATATGAAGAGGACAGTCTCCATTTTTGGGTGGAGTCATGCTATTGTGAGCGTGGGAGGGGAATGCACCGGCATTTTTATTTTGATTCCCCGAGATGTGCAGACATTAACAACATTATGTTGCCATGGTGCAACAAATTTGTCTGGCATGGGTTCGCTTGAATACCTTGAGGAGCTAGACATAGAAGAATGGGAAAACTTACTGATGCTCTATGGAGGACAAGATGAAGTAAATGATGTCTATGACTCCCCTGGCCCGACCCGTTACCCCCTCCACTTCCTAAGCCTTGGGGTTTTGAAAATATCTTAATGTCCGTAATTGAAGTATCTCTTTGGGCATGGATCTAAATTCTACCTTCCGCATCTACGGGTGATTAAAATAGATGAATATGGGGAAATGGCGAGGATAACAGCAGCAATCACATCACCACCACCACATCCGCTCCCAGCCTTCCCTAGTCTAGAAGAGATTTTTGTTAGGTGTTGTGATAAAATGAAGAGAGTGATGCAATCTGAGTGGCTACCCCACTTCACTAATTTGAGAAGAATCACAGTATTCTTTTGTGAGAACATGGAGAAGAAAATCGGAAGTCCTACTCCTAACATGACAGTTGAAGAGATTTCTCTTGAATCTCTTTATGTATATAGTTGCGATAACAGGAGAATGTTGTTACCACATGAGTTGGTGATCCATCTCCGAAATCTTCAAAGTATCAACATCGATTTCTGCAAAGGAATGGTGGAGATGATAAGCGGAGCGGGACAAGGCCAAGAAGGAAGCATAATGACTCCTATAAACAACACCCCTTCATCCTTCCATTCTTCAATTTCTCTCCCAAAGCTGATGAACTTGTACTTACATGATCTACCCCAGCTGAAGAGCATATGCGAAATCCCAATAAGCTATGATTCCATGAAAAAATTGAGTGTACAAATGCCCAGAACTAAAGGGGATTCCTTTGCAATTGCGATTAAGTGATATTGAGGACCTTCCGTATATTTGGGTGGAAGATGAGGAAAAGTGGAAGACGCTGATGTGGGATCATCGCGATGCTCAGGCTATTTTTCAACCTTATCTCCGAAAAGGGGAACACGCTAATAAAGGAATATCTTTTTCGTCGGAGAGACCGTATTCTCCAGATGCTGCAGGTTATGAGTTAATTGATGTAATTGCTTCACTTCTTAAAAGTCCTTACGAAGATGTAGCTACTCAGTCTATAGTCATGCAGCTCTAACAGTGGCCTTTTGCAGAATTGTTCGCCAAGGGAAAGGATCTCCTGCGACTCTGCTCTTGAAGAAAGCCCAGCTGCTCGAGCATGCTTTCCTGCAAACACAATTCAAGTTGCCATATGAAATGACTTTTTTGATGTGGCCACACTTTGTGTATTTTGAACGCCGTCCCATGTTTTATTGACTACTGGAAATAAGTCATCTCGGAGGACAAGCAAAGAGATGATGTTTTTGTACAGCCCTTTCTCATTTCATTTTCCTTGTCAGATTAGATCCTTGCAAGCAGATGGTTTGGGTGAAGACCACTTGTATTCCAGAAATGTGATTACCCTAGAACGTGAAAAATAAAATTTTTGAATAAAAGTCCGCAATTCAAGTTATTAATATTATGGCTGAGCAAAATTGCCTAGTGGCTTGATAGCTCCGACCTTAGTAGGCTCCGTCAGGGCCGAAGTTAAAACTTTCTTAGGGCCTGGCCATTCCAAGTTCAGTTAAAATGAAGAATTTTATTATTGCGTGCCCCTGGGGCATTAATTGAATATCATTTTAAGGAAAGTTTGCAATTTCCAATTCATCATCCATTTTCGTATTATATGCAATCAATATATTGATAACATCGATGAGTGTTTCACCTCATGCTCCTCGCCCAGGTCGCTAGTCGCCCTCGCCAGATCCGGTGAGCGCAGCACTCGCCCAAGCCGCAAGCCGCCCTCGCCGAATTTGGCAAGGACGGTGGTGAGGGTCCAGCCCTCGCCAGCCCTAGCCTGTGGCCGGTTGCCGGCGCTAGCGACCTGGCCATGGGCCAAGGAAGGAGGAGAAGAAGAAAAAATAAATGAAAAATAAAAAGAAAAAAATATTGAAAAATTCAAAATATTATTAATAAAAAGAAATTTTGTACAATTACCAAATGCATTTCTATTCTTTTTCTATTCCAAAAATAGAAATTTTGGGCAGTTACCAAATGCCTTCAAATGCTTAGAAATTATTTTCAGGAATTAAATAAAAAAGAATCATTTCTAAGCAGAAATTGTTTTCGGGAATAGAATAGTTACCAAACGCACCTTTAGCAACATATTGCCGACTCCTCGACCTCGGAAAAATTTCGAGGTATAGGGTATTCAGTTTTTAGGGATGAGTATATGTATGTAGGGAAAACACAAATGTGGCATGTTATACGTTGCTCCAAAATAATTTTATACGACTATTGAACAACAACATGCACACGTAAAAATTTGACGTAAATAAGTTGTAGCGAATTAACAGTGCAGAAACCGAAAGGATATAAAGTGAGTGTGGGCACTTTTGAGCTCCGTTAGTCTACATTCAAACTGTTTTCCTTTGTCAAATTATCCAGACTTTTTTCCTAAAATGTCGTGCATGCTTCTCCTTCCAGGTACCATGAGAAATGTGGATGTGAATTTGGAATATGTAGACCGCACCAAAAATCAGGGACTTCTTATGAAATTTATGCTCGCAACAAAAAAATAATTTGGAGGCAAATCTTACCTGATCCCATGCGCCCGATCTGTCAGAAGCACGTAGAGACCATAGAGCACTTATTCACTCTCTGTTCCTAGACGCAATTGGTGTGGGCCGACCATGCGCTACAGATTTGAATCTCAACTCAAGGTTACTCTAGATTGGAAGGATGGCTCATACAAAATAAAACAAGATCACTTGATTTTGAGCTCATCGCAGCCGTCCTCTGGTACGTTCGGAAAGCTCGAAGTGAGCATGTCTTCAGAGCCCTCACTCCAGATCCGACGAAGATATTGGAATCAGCTCAGGGTATGTTGCGCAGCTACATAAAGTGGAGCCACAAAGTAAAAAATAGCATCTCAGAGCAGATTTCTCTTGGCTGGATCCCACTAGAACGGGGCACTTTGAAAATTTAACATAGATGGAGCTTTTGTACCATGTCAGCGTCGACCAGACGGTCGGCCAAAATTGGCCGGATTGATTAAATTGTCACAAATGCAAAAGATTTAGCAATGAATTGGCAAAAAATAACGGTTTATAACTTAAATGGCACAATTATAATAGATTTAGAACTTTTTTGGTAATTCTCCCCAAATTAAGATTTGTCTGGAAAGTTCACGCCTAGATCAAATTTGCTTCCATTTGATCAAATTTGATCAATTAGAAGTGGATCCATTGCACAAAAGTCCTCATCCGGGACTCTTAGATTTTTTGTTTCTTTATCGATGTATATGATCACCGTGCTCCCAAAAAAGTTCTGGCTTCTGACTCTCATTTACGTCCCGATAGATATGCACTTGAGCAGGGTGACCTCCCTAAAGCTGGTGCTGAAAAGAGCAGGTTTCTCTTCTTCTTCTTCTTGACTTTAGATGTGATGTTTTAATTTGGCATTAGTTGGTACATGCGAAAAAATGAATTTTAATTCTTGTTTGCACCTGCTTTTGGTGTTGGTTATGGTTAATTTAGTTATGTGCGGCTTGTAGAGGATTGGCTTTTGTTGACATTGTGCTGTTCATTTCATGGAGGTTTCGTTACTTGGGTTCTGTTGCTGAGAATAGAGGACGAGCACTTCATGTTTCCGAACTTGAGGAGTTGTTGAGTGCTTGCACTGAGTTAGAAGTGAGCTTCATAGTCTTCAATCATCAGTGGACCCTTAATGCAAATATTGCATAAATTGATCAATTACAAATCCATTGTGTAACAGGCCACTCTTTATTCTTTACACATTCACAATCTCCGTGGTTTTTCCAACAATTAGTCTTTCGTTCTGATTAACTAAAAATGACAAAACAAAAAAAGAACCTATTGGATCTTGGAGTCGACCCTGGAACCTGTGATAGGGTAGGTTCCGGGTTCTACGTTTTGACGGGCAAATTCTAGGTTCCAAAAAATGAGAAATTTAGACCCGATGGTAGGTTTCAAGTTTCAAGTGGACCCTGTAAGGAACCTGAAACCGCTCACCGCTACACGCAGCACCGGAGTTTCCATTTCATGTGGCTAATGATGATGCTACACAACTTTAGTTGAAATAGCTTTTTGGGACAACAAGGACTAGATCCCATATCCACCGTTTTTTTTTCTGTCTTATCTCTAACTCTCCCCTTTTGTAAAATATGAGAATCGAACTCCACACCTATGATACTAGTATCCCCACCCTTCAAACCTTTTATCAGCAGCACTGGACTCCATTTGCACCGTTTATTTATAGCATTTCCTACAATTTAGGAACAATGCTTTCTGTGAAACAAGTCATGCCAAAGACGGCGTTTAAGGCATCCCCACATCTTCACCATCCATCTCGCCGATTCGATGGCCAGAACCCAACCCCAACCCGCTCCCCCTCTCCTCCCCCCCCCCCCCCACCCCACCTTTTTCGAAACAGGACATGTTGGTGTCAGCGCCAACCGTAGGACCAGCCCACCCCAATTAACAAGGGTCGCCACTGACGACGTGGACATGTCAAGAAGGGGCGGGGTCAAAGCAACGGACGGCTCAGATTCTGCGGGGCTCGGTCCTACGCCTTGCCACGTGATCACTAGCAATTGGGCGGACGTACGACCGAGGGGGACAGGCCCACGTGAATGATGAGCTTGGAGCGCATGTGGGCCCAGGGGGAGGGTGGGGCCCGTTTGGCCGAGGGATGTAATTGTCTAACGTTGGGCCGATGGATCTCAGCAACTGTGCTATTGTCTCTTGTGGCAGAGTTCCTCTTGATTCTTTACCAAAAGCTGTTCATTCCCATTTACAAGAGCAGGTCTATGCCTTTGTTTCTTTAGGAATTGGATCTACGCCTTCAGCGAAAGAAAGACTCTTTGCTGGATTCCTGGATGCTGATCAGTGCTTCAGAATCTCAAGAACAGCTTCTTAGCTCTACTTCTTGATGTGCTTCTTTGCCACTTACATGCATCTGAATCTTCTTTTTATGTCCTAACCAGTATGTTGCTTCGTCTTCAACTTTGCTATTTTCCATTTGTAAGAATCAAATAAAGACTCCCCAACTGGGCATCCTTATTTAACTGGATTACTTCTTGTAGGATATTGATAGAGACGATGCCTAGAGAAAAGGATCCATTTCGGAGGTATGTGACGTTCCTGAATCAAAATAACAGCAAGTGGAGGTGTAACTTCTGCAAACATGAGAGTGGTGGAGGGGCTACAAGGATCAAGGCTCACTTGGCTGGAATTGGAGGCTTTGGTATTAAAGGATGTGAGAGAGTTGATGTTAATGTAAGAGCAGAAGCTAGGGAGGTACTGATGCCTAAAAAAGTGATGGACTTGAGCGACCAAGGCGTATCTGAGGAAAGGATACGAGGAAATGCTAGAGCAGCTCCGAACAGCACATCTGATCCGCCAAATGTGGAGGGAGGAACCAATTTACAATTTCCACAAGGTACGCAATTCCAAATTACCACAGAAAATGGGCAGTTTAGTAAAGTAAAAACTAATTGATCTGATCTTAGTTATGATTTTAAGTTTACTTTTGTTTCTTAATGACTAAACATCCATTTCACGGCCTGCCAAGGCAACCGGCTTCCCTGCGCCTAAACTTCAAAATTTTCCTAATGAAGCCAGCTATATGAATTCGACTAATCCCGTCATGCATCTCAATCAATCACCAGGTGTGCCTCCTTTGACACCACAAACTCGCGGATGGATGGAAGAGATGGTGCAGGCAGTGAGGGAGGTCGACATCGCAAACCTCCCATTGGATGGTGCAACCAGCTACACGAGTGCATCTAATCCGCCAAATTCATTCTTCCCTAATTCACCAAATCAACTGTTGCCTTCTTTTACCGAGCCCCTAACATTAAATGCACAACAGAATCCAAGTGCGCCATTGCCATCACAAAACCGCCAGCTCCTTGATAACACTTTTCAGAGTGAGTTACCGGCGTCCATTATGCCTGGTCCCATTGCATCAGATTCTCAACTCACTAACATGGCCACAACCAACACTCCCCAGCATTCTAATCAACCAGATCAGAGCTTTCATGGGCAGTGTGGACATGGCACTGGTTTATCTCCTCCATGGGCATCCATGGAGATAGAGCCACCTATTCCATCACAACCTTTCAATGGACCTCTTATTTTCGAGCCACTTAATTCCCCACTGCAGATTCCAGACGACATCATAGATACAGTGGGCCCATCAACATCAGAAGGTATACAATTAGCGATTGATATTACATTGGTGTTGTTAATGAGGGCCCGTTGCACTTGTTAAGTATACTTGATAAGGAAATAATTTCATTCTCAATGCATTGATTACATATAATACAAGAGAGATGACCCATTGGGAATTACAAACTATCCTTAATGAGGTGTTTAACAAGGGTTGCGAGAGCACTTATTGATAAAATCCATAATAAATTTATCATTCACTTGGTCTCTATGTAAACCCCATGTTGCTTTGTTATGGGGAGTAAGAATGTTTTGATTAGAGTCTAATGCGTGAAGTTGTGGCTTATAAATTAGGGATGCCGAAACATGCACCAGCAGGGGCATCATCATTCCAGTATGACCGATTACTTGACGTAGGTAATTCAAATTGCTTTCTAGATTGCAATCGGCCACATATATCCTGTGTAACAAGTGTAACCAACACTGTCCCGCATCCTAACGAACCACTTCCAAGCTGCAATGAAGAGTGTGGAACCGAAACCAGGTCATTTCCCCTGCAAGAATCGATGGACATATATCCTCTAACTGTATTGCAGCCTACTAGGGGCCCTCACTTTTTCAAGGCAACACATGTCGATTTGCAAGTCTTGGAGGGTGGAGCAAATATGGCCGGCCCATCGTCATCGCAGGGATGTCTTGATTTACCTAAGGGTTCCTTTGTTTAGCAGAAAATAAATAATTTGAAAAATATTTTCCAAAAAAGGATCACTTGTATTGCTTAAAATAATTAGTTAATGAAAAACATTTTCGTTATCGATAATAATTTATGTCTAAACATTTTCGCAAACTATGAAAAAAATTTCGTTCATCATTTTTGTAAGAGATTCAAGCGCATTTTTTTGAAAATGTTTTCTAAAATGTTTATTTTCCGCAAAACAAACGTACTCTAAATAGATACCGTCATTCCGAATAAATCATAGATATTTCCAAATTATCTTACTCGAGTGAGCATTGATGCTTTCATTGCAGAAGTGATACTTCTTTGTATTATTTACTCTCCCTAGTAGAACTCAAATTCATCTCTTTCCATATAGCATCATTTCCCAATTACAGTGGTATCTTTGCATATTCTATATGTCTGATATCACTATCTTTTTACTGAGCAGTTGCTTTCATCAAAATATTTTACTTACACGCATGTTGATTTTAGTTGTAAATGTTTTTTCGTGATCAAATTATGTATGTTGTTTTACCCATACCCGGGGCTTAATTTGAAAGTCCCAATGATGATTTATCTTACACTCGAATATTTTAGTGCAAGCAGCTTTGGTGCCCCCTCAAAATCAAAGTGTTCCACATCAATCCATTAATAATGAGACAAGCAATGTGCAGCAAAATACAGTTGCACTATCATCATCATGGAAAAACCATTTAGTCGCATGTCTCCCAACAGCTCTAATGGACATGGATACATGTGTCCTATCATCATCACGAGTTCCAAAGAATGCTCCTCCGCCTTCTCAGATTCCAACTTGTGGTACAGGTCTAATAGGCCCATTGTCATTACTAGGTATATGGTTATTTACCAAAATTAATCCTTATGTTTCACCATATTATGTTATTAGGGCAGCAAAAATTCTGTGATTCTAACATATGGAAATTTTGAATTGCAGAATTAGATGTGAACAAAAGTGCGCCAACGACGAGTCTTCCGAACACAGGCAGCAACTTTGAAGAGAATGGAGCTTTGAAAAGAAAATTCAAACGACTCTATAACAGAGAATATGACATAAAGAATGAGTTAAAATATGTCGCATCTCTATCCCTAAAGAAGCCAAGAATGGAAGTTGCGAATTGGTTGGCGAATGTGGAGAAGCTAAGAAATGATTTCCCTTGTACTAAAGCAGCAAGCGAGGATTGTTTGCCACCACATCGACAGGTGGATATACTGATGAGAGAAGCAGAAGACCTTACGAGACATGGCAATTTCCTTAGTGGACTATTTGAGGCAAGAGAGATCAAAGTCAGTAAATTGTTAGAAGGAAAGATGGTGGGAGAGGCATTTAAGAGAAATACTACAAAGATTTTGGAATACTTAGTAGGCAATCAAGTATCCAGATTAGGCATTTATGGAATGGGGGGTGTTGGTAAAACAACGATTATGGTGCACATACATAATAGACTCCTCGAAGAAGCAAACTATGGTAATGTGTTGTGGATCACCGTGTCACAAGATTTTAACACACAAAAGTTGCAAGACAACATTTGGGATGCACTAAGTTTGGGCATACTACGAGAAAAGGATGTGAGGAAACGAGCAGCAATGTTGTCCAATTATTTAACCAAAAGAGGGAAGTTTATAATAATCCTCGATGATGTGTGGGAACGCTTTGATCTTGAAGAGGTGGGAATCCCTGTTAGAGCAGATGGATTTAAGTTGGTCTTAACCACTCGATCCTTTGATGTGTGCTGCCAGATGCATTGTCAAGAGAAAATAAAAATCGAACCTCTATCTCAAAAAGAAGCTGAGAGTTTATTTCTGGAGGAGCTTGGATCTGAAGTGACACTTAATTTGGAAAATGAAGGAATTGTGAAGTCCATTGTTAAAGAATGTCCAGGCTTGCCGCTTGCAGTTATCACGATGGCAGCAAGCATGCGAGGAGTGACTGATGTGTTTGAATGGAAGGATTACTTGGTGAAATTGAAAGAATCAGATATGGGGCAGACAGATATGGAAAAGAAGGTCTTAATGAAATTAAAATTCAGTTACAATCGCCTCGGTAATCATGAAGTTCAACAATGTTTCTTATCTTGTGCACTTTATCCAGAAGATAAATTGATTGATAAATTCGAGTTGATAGAATTCTTTATTGACCAAGGATTGATTGGTGGATTGAATACAAGGGAGAGACAATATGATAGAGGCCTCACCATACTAAACAAATTGGAAAGTGTTTGTCTATTGGAAAATTATGAGAAAGAGGTGAAAATGCACGATTTGATTAGAGACATGGCATTGCACATCATGAGTGCGACTTCCATTGTAAAGGCAGGAAAGGGGTTGATGAGGATTCCACCTGAGGAATATTGGACAGATGTTTTGGAGAAAGTTTCTCTGATGCACAATGACATTAGAGAATTTCCATTGAGCATGTCACCAAATTGTCCTAAACTATCAACTTTTCTATTAAACAGAAGCATGTCGTGTGATGTAGTCATCCTTGATTCTTTCTTCAAACAATTGCTAGGGCTAAAGGTTCTAAACCTGAGTGGATGGGATCTAAGAGAACTTCCAAATTCCATCTCAGACTTGGTAAACTTGAGAGCACTATTGCTTTCACATTGTTCTGGATTGCACCGTATTCCTTATTTAGGGAATCTTAGATCTTTAAGAAAGTTGGACGTCAATGGCTGTGTTTGTCTTGAAGCACTCGAGGGTCTAGGAATGTTGGTGAACTTGAGATACCTTGACCTAACTGATACACGGATTAAGAGATTACCCAAAGGAACATTGGGTGGTTTGGTAAACTTGCAACTTCTTCTAGTTGAGACAGTAGATTTAGAAGACGTTACAAAATTGTGGCCATTGGAGGCCTTTTTATGCTACTTCGAAGATGTGGATGATTTCAACAAGTGTGTAAAGGTTATTAAGCAAAGTAGTCCTCACCGTTACATGCTCGGAGTGGATCAAGAAAAATTGAAGTTTTATGTCAGAGTAATTGATGATGCTAGATTTTGGAATAGGAAGAGTGTCGAAATTCATGAGTGGAATCATAGTATCGTGAGCGCAAGAAGGGAAAGCACTGGCATTTGCATTTTGATTCCCCAAGATGTGAAAAATTTGACATGGCGAAAATGCAACGGTACATCAAATTTGTCTGACATGGGTATGCTTGAAAACCTTGAGAAGCTAAAAATAGAAGGATGTAAAAATTTGCGGGTTCTATGTGGAGGACAAGGCGAAGAAATAATGGACATCCATGACTCCCCTGCCCCAACCCCTGCCCCTCTTCTCTTCCCAAGCCTTGGGGTTTTGAAAGTATCCGGATGTCCGAAATTGAAGTATCTTTTTGGGCATGGGTCTATATTCTACCTTCCGCATCTACTGAAGATTGCAATTAATGATTGTGAGGAAATGGTAGGGATAACAGCTACGGTTACATCACCATCATCATATATGCTCCCAGCCTTCCCTAGTCTAGAAGAGATTATTGTTGTGGGGTGTGATAAAATGAAGAGAGTGGTGGAATCTAAGTGGCTGCCCCACTTTCCTAATACGAGAAGAATCACAGTAATCAATTGTGAGAACATGGAGGAGATAATCGAAGGTCTTCCCCCATACAATCCAGTTGAAGAGATTTCTCTCGAATCCCTTGTGGTAAATTGTTGCCATAACATGAGAAAGCTGTTTCCGCATGAGTTGCTGATCCATCTTCAAAATCTTCAAGATATTGAGGTCGACTATTGCAAAAGAATGGTAGAGATGATAAGCAGAGTGGAACAAGGCCAAGAAGGAAGCATAATGACTCCCGTAAACAACACCCATTCATCTTACCAGTTTTCAATTTCTCTCCAGCTGAAGCGATTTCGGCTATGTGATCTACCTCAGCTGAAGAGCATAAGTGAAGTCCCAATAACTTGCAATTCCATGGAATTTATGAAGGTGTCCAAATGCCCAGAACTCAACAGGATTTCTTTGCGACTGCGATTAGGTGATATTGAGGATCTTCCGTATATTTGGGTGGAAGATGAGGAAAAGTGGAAGACACTGATGTGGGATCATCCCAATGCTCAGGCTATTCTTCAACCTTATCTTCAAAAAGTGGAACACGCTAATGAAAGACTTTTTTGGGGGAGCTCGTGTTCTCCAAATGCCCTAGGTTAATGAGTTATTGATAAAAATCCTTCACTTCTTTAAAGTCCTTGCAAATGTAGCTTTTTTGTCTATGGTCATGCAGCTCTAACAGTGGCTTTTGCAGTATTATCCGCCAAGGGAAAGGATCTCCTATGACGCTGCTCTTGAAGAAAGCCCTGCTACTCGAGCATGCTTTCCTGCAAACTCAACACAAGTTGCCATGTGAGTAACTTTTTTGGTGTGATGTACCTTGTTGGGCAAAAGGGACGTTATATTATATATTTTGAATGACGTCGCATGTTTTATTGAGTACTGGAAATGAGTCATCTCCAAGGACTAGTTAAGAGATGATGCTTTTTTGTAACCCTTCCCATCTCATTTTCCTTGTCAGATTGGATCCTTGTAAGCAGTTGGTTTGGGTGAAGACCACTTATATTCTGGAAGTGTGATGTCTTTTAAAATCTGTATATATCTTTATCTACACGATTATGCTCAATTGGATCACAGTACAAGATGCAAGTTTATGGTATTATGCAAAAGAAAATCCCAAAGTTAGTGGTCAAAATTGACTATCAAATGAATTAGCCTAAAGTTACCGGAAAGCTTTTTGATATTTGATAAAAAAATGCATTCATACATGAGCTGAAAAATGGTGTTTGGCAATGAGTGTCTCGTCAAAAGTGCATCTAATGCATTGTAGATGCTTCAAATAAAAAATAAAAAAGAATGTCAAAGACTAAATTCCTTAGGAGGCATAAAAATGGAAGCAGGACTATTTCATTTTCAAAGCCTGAGAGACAAATTCCGAAGATGATTGTGGTCCACTAATTGTGCATTCGATGAAGTGCCCATGTACCACTTTAGAACTCTTTTAGCAAGACCAGCTTTGCTCCCTTTCATACGAAAATCAATTGGATGCTTCAATGAATATCATTGATATCAAGAAGTCGAAGTGAAAGAAAGGAAAAAGGACTTATGTAAGTGATGCATGGAAAGGACATGGCGATTGTATTTTGGTAATGATTTGCATAAGATGATGTCATGTACCGAATGTTGATTGTGAGAATAGCTATGCAAGAAATAATAAATGGGTGTTGAATTCATTGTTGATGCAAGGAAGATCACCATATTTGAGTGTTGTTATGTGCGCTATTGTTATGTGATTATATATATGGAAACTATTAGGCTATGTTTCCATCACCCATACATTTGGTGGAGACGATGCCTCAGAGTTGGGATACCTAGTGTGTCAGGATGCTAGGGGAGTGTTTCATTTTGTTATGCCTCGAGAGTGGAGATGTCCCATGTGTTGGGATCCCCCAAGGAGTGTTTTAGAATGCCTCGAAGTGGAGATGTCCTGTATGTCGGGATGCCCAAGGAGTCAGGATGAGATTGAAATGTTACTAATGAATATGATGCATGTCATTGTGTATGTATAAATGAAGAGACTCACACGTCTAATTGGTGGTAGTTGTGCATCACAATATGTTATGTCATCTACTTTTGAGTGAATAATCACATGCAATGTTGTTATCCATTTACATGGGCATATCATGATAAAAAAGATAATGCATTTACTCCCATACTCATCATTCATGATTATCTTGTGTTGTTTGTTGGTACTGGATTGAGTAGTAAGATGATCTCTTATCTTAGACTTAGAAATTTCTTTTACTAGGCTTCGGCTCACCCTTTATTTTTTAAATTTGTACGATGGTCCCTTGGGTATGTCGATGAAGGGGACGAGATGATGCCGGAGACCATCAACCTTGAGTTGGATGGTGGCTTGGTTAATATTTAGGCTCACTTTTGGTTTAGTATGGGAGTAGTGGTGTTAGTGGACACGACTTTCTTCCCAGGATTTTTGTAATGTATTGTATTTTTTTTATATTATATCAAGTCGGTAACTAAAGGTGTTAATATAAAGAAACATGTGTATATTAATTAAATTCGTGCGATTTTTTTTTTGGTGTAAAATATCAATATTATAGAGTGAATGAAGTACAACAGCTTAGGGGTATCCGCTAGCATTATAAATGATGCTAATAGTTCGAGAAGATAGAGGTAGGAAGTCTCCACATAGTAGCCAATACAACATTTGTCTGAGAATGTCTAATGTTTTGGTAGAGTGAAGCTCTACCTTTTATATTTTTACGCATGTTGGCTTAAATAATATGGATATCAGTTAACTTGTTTTGAAATCGTTTTTGGTTGTGCTCCATCCATATACCATAAATGGTTGCTAGAAAAGATACCTTAAGGAGTCTAGCCGTCAAATCTTTGCCCTTTGTTGTCCTAATTATCCATTGAAGTTCCTCATTCTATCCTCCCGAAGGACGCCTGATCCCCTATTGTGCAAGAATACTGCGTCATAAGCTACCTGTCCACTCACACCGGAAGAATAAATGTGTTCTGTCTTCTATACCGGCCCTACAGAAGTTACACTGGATATCAATTGAGGTCCTCCATCGGATGGCGATTTCTACCGTCGGTAGTTTGTTTCTGCAAATGAGCCAGCCAATAAAATTGTGTTTGCTAATACCGCTGGTCCAAATTAGGTCATACCACTCCACAATCGGTCCCGCATGTCTGAGTTCATCATAAATTTCTCGGTACCAGTACCTTGAGCTATGGATAACCGAGGTTAAAACATGTCGTAGTTTAAGGAGACATCGCTAACTCCAAGCCATACTGCCCATAATGTTGATTTGCATAATTGGAGTGCCTTTGCATTTGGTGTTATGAACCCATATACTCCAAAGGAAAGAGGATGGATGATTGATGAGGTTCCACAGCATGCGTCATAAAAATACTTTGTTCCATAATTTCAGATCGAGCAATCTTAATCCTCCTTCCCTTTTAGGTGAGCAAACTACCTGCCATGCCACCTTGTGCGATCCATGATTCGCTGTATTACCTGCCCATAGAAATTCGTGCGATTTTCTTATAAGGGATGTTGAGAATATTTTATTGTGCTTCCGTATGCGTAATTATAATTATGAGTTACAATTAAAAATGACACTTGTCACACATGGCATTCTTGAGTGTCACATATTCGGCTTCATATATTGATAATCTTGAAGTACTCCGAGCTGCAGAGGGAGTTGCCCCTCCTTCCATTTACTTGTTTCCATCTTTTGTTGGTACACTCTCATTCCTATATAGTAATATTGTTTGCCAAGCATAGTAGAAAATCAAACGATGCATAATAAGGGTTTTCTTGGGAAATTCATGCCTAGATCAAATTCGATGAATTTCTAACGTTGATGTAGCGGGTTCAACATGAGCTGCATGTTGCCTGTCATGGGATCAATAAGCCCTCATACGGGATGTCTCTCTCAATTTATATGTTTCTTTTATTGGTGTATATCATTACCTTTTCTGATTATCATAATATTTTTAGAAGAATTGACAGCTGGATCAAATATATACATCTAGACAATTAAATCTGAAGGATTATATGAAAAACGAATGATGTCTGATTGAATGACCTAAGTATACTTGGATAAACGTAGCTGTAAGATGCAATAACCTTGTATGAATTCTCTAATGGTAAATATATGCATGTGCTTTGATTTTCTTTTTACTGAGAATATACATTAATTGTGGATACGGTGGATGGGCTTCGAAGTGTAACATCTTGTCAAATTTGGTTGGTTTCTAGAAGTCCGTAGTCTGAAACCGAGTGATAAACAAATAAAAAGAAGACGAGGGTAGTTGGCAGAAATTGACTGGTGAGGTGGGCGATACCTCGTGTAGTCAGCCCTATTTTTATTTTAGCATTCTTTTGTCCACAATGGGACCCTTCGCCGTATGAACGCTACCCAATTTTCATTATTTTTCTCAATGAGGCCTATATTTGGGAATTCTGTAAGTCCCATAGCATATTAATAGACCAATGTGTGTCGACATTTCATATTAGTACTGCGCGTATTTGCCAACAGAAACGACCTTCTTCTTTTTAGTCGAGATTCTCTTTTTTTCCTAAGAATTGCGTGAGATATAAATTATGCTTCACCATATTTCACAAATTATTCTTCTATGCATGCAAATTGATCTACAAAGATGTTTGCATAAATTAAAAATCTAGGCTTTGGTTTGTGAGAGGTTGCAAGATGTTTCATGGTCCTCTAAATAACCCAGCCTCTCTACCTGTGTCTTTGGTTCCTGAAAAAAGAAATCTTTCTTTAGCAACTTCTCAAATTGGTAAATTGTTAAAAGGGATGATATTGAGGAGAAAATCATTAAAATGCGGGGGACATAAACATAATACATATGCCTAATTTGGCGCTACGTGTCAACTTGTTCTATCTATTTGGAAAATAAATTCGGTTTTTGACCATATTTTTTTTCCTCGGGTTGCACATGCATGTCCAGGAAAAAATGAGAGAAAAGAGAGATATACCGTCCATGTTGTTGACATCATAATCTTTACTAATCGAAATTATTTTAGGGTATATACCTAAATAATATTAATACCTTCCAGAAGATAAATTACATGCTCTTTCGTGGTTATTTGTTTTTTCCCAATCGGTTTGTGGTTTTCTCTGTGACTTTATTCCTTAATTGGTATGATACGGAATTCTGAACAGAACAATAAACGGAAAAATTGAGTTTTTTTTTTATTGGAGCATGGCGAAGTAAATTTGCAAGTAATACTGGCAATAAAAAAAATTGATGTCATAAATGACTTTACAAAACAATACGGTAAATCCTAAGTGTTTATTTTTAATCAATAGATATACTTGAAAAATCAATAGAATCCCATCACGTCATGTTATGAATCATCTTAATATATCAAATCTCGAATATTGTACTAAATAAATCCCTCTAAAACTCAATTAGACCAACTACGAGTGAGCACCTCATAGATTAAACAAGAACTTGAGTTCACTTATGATTATCAAGGCCCATTGGCAAAAAGGAAAAGAAAAAGGGTAAGAAAAGGAGCCACTGGAAATCTCATTTGATCTTGTCTCTCAAAAAAGGTGAAAGTTACTTGAGGTGGAGCGGCATCCATATAAATAGACAAATAATTCTTTATTTTGATAATAGGTTAGTGTTTTTTTTTTTGGTCGATAATAGGTTAGTGTTTAGAAATGAAATATAAAGGATATAAAATTGTGAAAACATGAGGTGGCCATCTATGGGCCACAAGTCAACTGTCCATGCATTATTTTAAATTAAGATTTTGTTAGGTTGATTATTGATGTAGAAAATAGTTTGCACTTTCACGATTAGGCGTCAACACATGAAAGAATTCGTTTACAAAGATAACTCCAAACACACGTGTCACTCATTCACGGTAAATGTGTAATGAGGTCTTAACACCGACTACGTATCTAGCAATAATCCATTAAATTTCTAGGTTATTTGGTTAACAATATTTCTTTATTTAGTTTAATATATTAAATAATAAGACCAAACAGATAATATATTCGGATGTTCAAAATTTTCATGCATGGGGTTAATTCGGATAATGCTAACAATCTATTGAAATATTCAAAATATATTATTTCGTAGATTCTAAGGATGAAAAATAAATAGAAAAGTCATAGTTACATGAGGTGGAGCAAAAACAAACAAATCTTTAAAGAGGGAAAAAATCAATTTTATTTATTTTAGTAATAGGTTATAGTTGTAGAATGAAAAAGAAAAATATATTTTTAAAAAAAAGTGAAAGCATGCGAGGACAATTATCTAATGGGCCACATGCCAATTCTCCATTGGGCCACCATGTAGCACCTAAGTTTCCAATTCAAGTGGCTAAAGATGCTACAAAACTTTAGTTGAAACAGCTTTTGGTACAACAAGGAATCCACTAAACTTTCACAAATTAATAATCTAAGCTCAAGCGAATAGCGATGGCAATTGCAGTTGCACATGCTAACGTGGGCAAGGGTTCATGATTGGAGTACAGTGCAATAAAATAAAGCAAACTTTCAACAGTGTTGTTGATCAGAATTCAAGACTCTCTGACCAAGTCCAACTTTCCAAGTCTCTCCCTCTCTCTCTCTCCACAGTGGATCAGAATTCAAGACTCTGACCAATTCCAAGTCTCTCTCTCTCTCTCTCCTCTCTCTCTCACACACACACATAGATAAACATAATTAACTGATTAAGAAAAGACAGACATTTCCTGTGTGCGTTCTTAGCAACTGTTGTGTTGTCTCTTATGGCAGAGTTCCTCTTGATTCTTTGCCAAAAGCTGTTAATTCCCATTTACAACTGCAGGCCTTTGCCTTTGTTTCTTTAGGAATTGGATCTACGCCTTCAGCGAAAGAAAGACTCTTTGCTGGATTCCTGGATGCTGACCAGTACTTCAGAATCTCAAGAACAGCTACTTATTTCTGCTTCTTGATGTGCTTCTTTGCCACTTAGATGCATCTAGATCTTCTTTTTCTGTCCTAACAGGTATGTTGCTTCATCTTCGTCTTTGCAATCTTCCATTTGTACGAATCAAATAAAGCCCCTCCAACTGAGCATCCTTATTTAATTAAAATACTTCTTGGAGGATATTGACAGCGGCGATGCCTAGAGAAAAGGATCCATTTCGGAAGTACGTGATGTTCCTGAATGAAAATAATAGCAAGTGGAGGTGTAACTTCTGCGAAAAGGGGCATGGTGGAGGGGCTATAAGGATCAAGGCTCACTTGGCTGGAATTGGAGGCTTTGGTATTAAAGCATGTGAAAGAGTTGATGCTAATGTAAGAGCAGACGCCCAAGTCGCACTGATGGCTACAAGAGTGATGGACTCGAGCGACCGAGGTGTATCTGAGGAAAGGCTACAAGGAAATGCTAGAGCAGCTCCGACCAGCACATCCCATCCGCCAAATGTGGGGGAAGGACCCAATTTACAATTTCCACAAGGTACGCAATTCCTAATTACCACAGAAAACGGGCACTTTAGTAAAGTAAAAACTGATTGATCTGATCTTAGTTATGATTTTAAGTTTACTTTTGTTTTTTAATGACTAAACATCCAATTCACAACATGCCAAAGCAACCAGCTTCCCTGCGCCCTAAACTTCAAAATTTTCTTGATGAAGCCAGCTATATGAATCCGACTAATGCCGTCGTGTATCTCAATCAATCACCAGGTGTGCCTCCTTTGACACCACAAACTCGTGGATGGATGGAAGAGATGGTGCAGGGGGAGAGGGCAGTCGACATCGCAAACCTCCCATTGGATGGCGCAACAAGTTACTCTAGTGCATCTCCTCCGCCAAACTCATTCTTACTTAATTCGCCAAACGAACTGTCGACTCTTTTTACCGAGTCTCTTGACCTTGGGACATTAAATGCACAACAGAAACCAAGTGCGCCATTGCCATCACCAAACCGTCAGTTCCTCGATAACATTTTCCAAAATGAGTTACAGGGGTCCATTTTGCCTGGTCCCATTGCATCAGATACTCAACTCATTAACATGGCCACAACCAACACTCCCCAGCATTCTAATCAACCAGATCAGAGCTTTCACAGGCAGTGTGGACATGGCACTGGTTTATCTCCCCCACGGGCTTCCATGGAAATAGAGCCACTATTTCCATCACAACCTTTCAATGAACCTCTTGTTTTTGAGCCATTAAATCCCCCTCTGCAGATTCCAGAGGATATCATAAGCACAATAGGCCCATCAACATTAGAAGGTATGAAATTATCGACCTCTATTAAATGGGTCTTGTTAATGAGTGCCCCATCACACTTGTTAGATATACCTAATAAGGAAATATTTTTATTCCTAATGCATTGATTACACATAATATAAGAGAGACAATGCATTGGATGTTGAACAAGTATCGCCAGAGCATTTATTAACAAAATCCATATTAAATTCATCGTTCACTTGGTCTCTCTATAAAGCCCATTTTGCTTTGTTACGGGGAGTAAGAATGTTTTGATTAGAGTCTTATGCATGAAGCTGTGGCTTATAAATTAGGGATGCCGAAAGGCGCACCAGCAGGGGCATTATCAGTCCAGTATGATCGATTACCAGATGCAGGTAATTCAAATTGCTTTTTGAATTGCAATCGGCCTGGATAGATATGAACTATATAGGCAGCAAGAATGCTATCGTAGACTCTAACAGTTAGAATTTTTAAATTGCAAAATTAGATATGAACGAGGGTGCGCCAATGACGAGTCATCCACATACAGACAACAACTTCGAAGAGAACAGAGCTTTGAAAAGAAAACTAAAACGACTCTATAGTAGAGAAGCTGACATAAGGGATGAGTTAAATTTTGCTGCATCTCTAGCCCTAAAAAAGCCAAGAATGGAAGTTGCAAATTGGTTGGTGGATGTGGAGAAGCTTAGAAATGTTTCCCATTGTACTGAAGCAGCAAGTGAGGATTATTTGCCACCAAATCAACAGTTGCATGTTGGAGGATTGATGAGAGAAGCAGAAGACCTTATGAGACAAGGCAAATTCCCAAAAGGACTATTGGAGGTGAGAGATACCAAAGTCAGTAAATTGTTAGAACGACAGTTGGTGGGAGAGGCATTTCAGAGAAATACTACAAAGATTTTGAAGTACCTAGTAGGGAATCAAATATCCAGATTAGGCATTTATGGAATGGGGGGTGTTGGTAAAACGACTATTATGGTACACATACATAATAGACTTCTCGAAAAAGCAAATTTTGACAATGTGTTGTGGATTACTGTGTCACAAGATTTTAACACACAAAAGTTGCAGGACAACATTTGCGAGGCACTAAGATTAGACATTCCACAAGAAAAGGATGTGAGGAAACGAGCAGCAATATTGTCCGATTGTTTAACCAAAAGAGGGAAGTCGATAATGATCCTCGATGATGTGTGGGAACGCTTTGATCTTGAAGAGGTGGGAATCCCTATTATAGCAAATGAATTTAAGTTAGTCTTAACCACTCGATCTTGCGATGTATGCTGCCAGATGCTCTGTCAAGAGAAGGTAAAAATTGAACCTCTATCTCAAAAAGAAGCAGAAAGTTTATTTATGGAGGAGCTCAGATCTGAAGTGGCACTTAGTTTGGAAACTAAAGAAGTTGTGAAGTCTATTGTTAAAGAATGTGCAGGCTTGCCGCTTGGAGTCATCACGATAGCAAGAAGCATGCGAGGAGTGACTGATGTGTTTCAATGGAAGGATTACTTGGTGAAATTGAAAGAATCGGATATGGGGCAAACAGATATGGAAAAGAAGGTCTTAATGAAATTAAAATTCAGTTATGATCGCCTTGGTAATCATGAAGTTCAACAGTGTTTCTTATCTTGTGCACTTTATCCAGAAGATAAATTGATCGATAAGTTTGAGTTGATAGAATTCTTTATTGACCAAGGATTGATTGGTGGATTGAATACAAGGGAGAGACAATATGACAGAGGCCTCACCATACTGAACAAACTAGAAAATGTTTGCCTATTGGAAAATTATGAGGAAGAGATGAAGATGCACGATTTGATTAGAGACATGGCATTGCACATCATGAGTGCAACTTCCATTATAAAAGCAGGAAAGGGGTTGATGAGGATTCCACTTGAGGAATCTTGGACGGATGCTTTGGAGAAAGTTTCTCTGATGCACAATGACATTAGAGAATTTCCGTTGGATATGTCACCAAATTGTCCTAAGCTATCAACTTTTCTATTGAATAGAAGCTTGTTGAGGGATGTGGTCATTCCTAATTCTTTCTTCAAACAATTATGGGGACTAAAGGTTCTAAACCTGAGTAACTGTAAATTGAGAGAACTTCCAAATTCCATCTCAAACTTGGTAAATTTGAGGGCACTATTGCTTAGAAAATGTGGGGAATTGCGTCGTATTCCTTGTTTAGGGAAGCTCAGATCTTTAAGAAAGTTGGACGCTCATGGTTGTGTTTGTCTTGAAGCGCTCGAGGGTTTGGAAATGTTGGTGAATTTGAGATACCTAGACCTAACCGGTACACATATAAGGGGATTACCCAAAGGAACACTGGGGGGTTTGCTAGACTTGCAATATCTTAAAGTTGGGGCAGTAATTGAATACATTACAAAATTGGGGGCATTGGAGACATTTGAATGCTACTTAAAAGATGTGGATGATTTCAACAAATGTGTGAGGGTTATTAACCAGAGTATTAATTCTCGCTATTACAAGCTCGACGTGGGTCTAAAAAAATCAATGTTGCATGTGGAAGTAAGTGATGATGCTAGATTTCGGAGTGGGAGGAGTGTCGACATTCTTGAGTGGAGTCATGCTATTGTGAGCGTGGAAGGGGAAAGCACTGGCATTTGTATTTTGATTCCCCAAGATGTGAAAAAATTTACAGGGAGTTATTGCAACAGTATAACAAATTTGTCTGGCATGGGTCCGCTTGACTACCTTGAGGAGCTAATCATACGAATATGGGATAACTTGCGGGTGCTTTGCGGACGACAAGATGAAGAAGTAATCAACATCCATGACTCCCTTGCCCCAACCCCTACCCCTCTCCTCTTCCCAAGCCTCAGGGTTTTAGATATATATGCATGTCCGAAACTAAAGTATCTCTTTGGGCATGGGTCTAAATTCTACCTTCCGCATTTACGAAAGATTGCAATAAATGACTGTGAGGAAATGATAGGGATAACAGCGGCAGTTACATCTCCACCACCACATCCGCCCCCAGACTTCCCTAGTCTGGAAGTGATTTCTGTTTGGTGGTGTGATAAAATGAAGAGGGTGGTGGAATCCGAGTGGCTGTCCCACTTCCCTAATTTGAGAGATATTAACGTATCCGGTTGTCATAACATGGAGGAGATAATCGGAGGTCCTCCCCAACACATGCCAGTTGAAGAGATTTCTCTTGAATCTCTTAGGGTACGAGGTTGTGGTAACATGAGAAAGCTATTTCCGCATGAGTTGCTAATCCATCTTCAAAATCTTCAAAGTATACATGTCCGTTGTTGCAAAGGAATGGTGGAGATGATAAGCGGAGCGGGACAAGGCCAAGAAGGAAGCATAATGACTTCCGTAAACAACACCCCTTCATTCTTCCAGTCTCCAATTTCTCTCCCAAAGCTGAACCGATTGTATCTACACGATCTACCCCAACTGAAGAGCATATGTAAAGTCCCAATAACTTGCTATTCCATGGAAGATATGCATGTGTCCGAATGCCCAGAATTGAAGGGAATTCCTTTGCAATTGCGATTACGTGATATTGAGGACCTTCCGAATATTGAGGTGGAAGATGAGGAAAAGTGGAAGACGTTGATGTGGGATCCTCCCAATGCTCAGGCTATTCTTCAACCTTATCTCCATTTCATCGGCAGAACCTGTGTTCTAGGTGGCGATGAGTCCCAATAATGTGAGTTATCGATATAATTTCCTTCACTTCTTAAAATTCGTTACAAAGATGTAGCTTCTTCGTTCTATAGTCGTGCAGTTCTCCGATGTCACAAGAAAGTGTCTTCTTTATTTTTCCTTTTTATTCCTCGTCCTGAACAAACAGTGGCTTTTGCAGAATTATCTGCCAAAGGATTTCCTGCTATGCTGCTTTTGAAGAAAGCCTGCCGAAAGGCCTTCAGCAGCTATTTGACTTACCCGAGCATGCTTTCCTGCAAACTCAGGTTGCCATGTGAATTTACTTTTTTCCATGTGCCAACCTTTGTTGCCAAAAGGGACGTTATATTGTGCATTTTGAATGCTGTCCCATATTTTATTTTGTAATGGAAATGAGTTATCTCCAAGGACTAATTGAGGACTGTCGGTTGAACCAAAGATGATGCTTTGTGCAACCCTTCTCATTTCTTTTTTTCATTGTCAGATTAGATCCTTGTGAGCAGTTAGTTTGTCTTCATTTTTGCATATTTCAGGTGCGAAATGTCTAAATCTGTGTATTTATCTCTATCTACGCGATTATGCTCCATTGGTCAGAGAACAAGATGCCAGTCCCTGGTATCATGCAAAAGAAAATCACAAAGCAAGTGGTCAAAATTGACTATAAAAAAGAAAAGTGAACTGAAAATTGTGTTCATATATGAGCTGAAAAATGGCATTGGCTATGAGCGTCCCAACAAAAGTGCATCGAGTGCTTGATAGACACTTAAAAAAGAAAAATGAACGTCAAAGACTCAATTTCTTTTAGGAGATATAAAAATCGAAACTGGACTGTTTCATTGTCAATAAAATGTCATTAATTTCAAGAAGTCGATGTTATTTTTTATCCATTTCAATGGTTCAGCAGCTAGACTGGGTGCCCGAATGAGGAAGGCGGAGGAGAAAATGAAAGAAAAGAATGAGGAAAAAAGGGTAAAAAAATTTTATTCGGGAAAAAAGAATAACATGGCAGCCCATGTCCTCAGTTTCACCTAGTTAAACAATCCACATCAGCAAAAATGAAGCCTCATATTGAGTTTTTCAAAAGTTGAGGCATTTATTGTAAAAAAGAAAGAGAAAAAAATTCAGAGTACTTGTTGCATAATGAGTAAAAGCTTAGACAGTTGGCAATACTCTTTGAAAAAATCATAAAAAAGAATTGCCGCGAGTAACTTTTTTAACTCCTTTTTTCTTTTATTTTATATTTATCAAGTGTCCGTAACTCTTTGAGCACCCGTTTATTCTACATTAAGTGTGACAATACCTTGTTACCGCTTTAACTCCATTTTGTCTGAAAGTGCTTTAGAGTGTTTATTACTATTGGACAAGCAACCCTGTTTGATCCTTTCACTTCAAGTCATTGGACTTCACTCCGACAACTGTTCAACAAATGTCGAATAACTGACCCGAGAAGAAGATCGGGAAGCAACAAACCATGGCAGGACGCACATACATGAACGATCAATCTAATCTAATGCTTGTATAAGCGAGATGGTATTCCTAAGAGAGTTCACCACAAGTTGACCTGTATGGACCCTCTGAATTTTCATCTTTCATAACATGTAACATGTGAAGAGTACTTACGTAATTACTTAATTATATACTAAAAAAAAACACACGACGTTGCGAGTGAAGAAAAGAAAGCATAATACTAAATTAGTGAAGAATAAAATAGCAAGTAGATATTTCAATCTATTTTGAGGATATAATTTAAATTATCGTGAAAGAAAAGCTGATTGATTTATGGAATATTTAGTGATTATATTAAATATAAATTTAGAAGGTGAGAAATTCATGGATAATGATTTTGCCCATCTATAGTTATGTGTGATCATAGTGTTTTTCAAATGTATGCATGGGCTTTTATGGAATTTTGTTGTAGAAGTTTGAGAATGAAATGGCCATAGATTTGCTTTATTATTAATAAAAGTATGTGACTCCCTCTAAGATTATTTTCTGTAATATGTTAATATTGATATAACTCGAAGTAAGAGACAAAAACAAGATAAAGTCATTATTGAAAATTTTCAGTTTGATTTTTTTTCATTTATTAGTCATGAAAAGAGATTTATTCTTTTAGTATCTAATGAATATCATTCAAACTGTTCAGTACCATATCTAATTTTCTCTAGCAGTTTACCCATAAAAAGTGCATATGTACATAAATGATTTCAACAAAATGGATAATTCGAAAAAAGTTACGTAAAGATAGCTCTTATACTAGTAACATTTTTCGACCAAAAAAAAAATACTAGTGACATTTACCAGGTAATATAAGTTAAAACTAAATCTTGAGCTTTCTTTTTCCTCTATATGTGTGCTTAGACATTTACTTTATTCATAAATCATTTCATTTTATACATACATTCACATTCATAAAAAAAATAAACATTCCCGGAAGAAGTTAAGAGAACCCCTAAACAAAAAGAGCATCTCTTTGCATTATATGATAGAAAGTAAACACCAAATTTAGATATTCCCACAGTAATTAAAATAGAACATAATGAAAGACCAAATGATAATATAACGATTGATTTGCACAAAGTATCAGTATAACATTATACAAAAATTTTATACATGTTATATGGGTTCATATCAACAAATGAAATTTGAATAAGTAAATTTCTGAATCCGTGCAACCATTACTACACATTCTACGGAAATATGCAGTCATAATCTACAATCTGATGGAATCACCTACCAATATACAAAGCTCTATGCATATCATAGGATATATGTGCTAGCAATCGGATGGCCTGGAATATTTTGGGGGCAGAGATGGACACATCTCATTCATATGAGGGTACGGGTCCATTGTATTGTATCCTGGCAGCTCCATTCGATACCTACCTCGTATTTGACAGAAAGGAAGCTCAACGTCGTCCCCATCATCGCACCACTTAGGCAAGCGGCTTGAATTATTCTCGAAGAACATTAGCGAGTAAGCATCTTTTATCTGCATATAACACAATGCTATTCACAAAATGCCAAATGGGACTCCTCACAACAAAAAGACACACTTCGATGGGCAAACTAGATTATAGTTCTCTCAATCTCCGAAGAGAGTGATATCCATCTCTACATAGTAAGGGAATTAGGGTCAGAAAGAGAACCCAACTAGGGTCAATCAGATCGCACTTACAGTGAACTCTGTAACTTGAATGGAGCTAGAAATTGGATCAAAGAGTCCTGCTGCTTTGTATATTTCAAGAACGAACGCTACACATGAGGCGGACTTCCCGTCGCTGTATACCCAATCGTCTTGCTCTGGAATTGTCAGCAGTTCAGCAAAAGAAGACCCCCTCATTTCAGTTTCGACTAATAGATCAGGAAGATCCAAGCCCTGTATGCAACACAATTGCAAGGTAGCCATTAAGTAAAATAAGTGTGATTACAGTGTAATTAAAACCATATAACATGTTTTAACTGAACGTCATTCGAGAGACATAGATTCCAGCTGCACCTCAGTGTGCAAAACAAGATGCATAACTTCACACGGACAATTGCAAATTGAATGGACGGTACCTCTGTTCCTAGTCGCTTGTTCAGTGCTTCATTCCATATGTTCGCAGCATAGGCTGGTTGCATTTGGTTCCACACTGTCATAACAGAAGCAACCTACAATACCACAATGCTTTCTATAAAACGAGTGAACCACACTCCCATTCCGCGAAGAATGCATCCCACATGGCAAGCATATTACATGCATCATCAGTCAGGCTGATAGAAATTCTTAAGAAAAAATCAACAAAGTTTACTATTTTGCTGCCTTAGTATCATAAAGGAGGCTATAAACATGAATATCTGTCGAACCAAGTCAGATTCTTTTCCATAATGTCAGCACTAAATAGAGTCACAAGCTAATATGCTATTTGGCGAGATCACTGTTCAGTTTTTAGGCTTTTGTGGCAAGATTGTCTAATTCTAACTAGACTGCGTTGATATGATTTGACACACAGCATCATTATATTTCAGGGTCTATCAAAGTAGGGCTAAATTACTGTTTAGCAGGTTGAGAAGCAGAAACTCTTTCATATCCAGCATCTAAGAATCTCAAGCCATCTAAAGATATACCTTGGAAGTAACACAAGGCCTTAGTGTTAGAAAAATTGTCTAAGACAAATTGAATGCACCCACAAGATAGATATAAACACATATGCATGTGTACAATCTCAGTACCACATGAGCATCCAATGGTGGTGGATAATTTGCATCGATAGTGTCTATCCAGCTAAAAAGCATGTTGTGATAACCATATGGTCTCCCATTCATACTCTGTGCATACTCCCATGCAGCACTCTCATTAAATTTGGCTCGCATATCAGGATGCAGTGGAAGCAATGCAATGTGGGGATTTGAGTCATCTTTGTTAAGCTCAAACTCCCACCATTCACCCCATGGTAGCACAGCAATGACATCTTCTCCCTGCAAGGATAAGAACAAAACAAAAATTGCATTATCCCAACACTTTGTTGGACTTCTGCAGCACCTGACCCCTTTACCAACACAAAGGAGCAGAGCAAGTAGCAACAACCCAATTATGGACTTAAATTGGTTAATCAAAGTCTGCCTCAAGTAAAGGTTGTCATTTCATCGAATTCTAACTATAATCATCATCAGTAAGTTGCCATGTTGTGTATATAGATGGCCTTGAAGTTCAATAGAAACAGTTCAGGCACACTGTATTTGCTATGTTACAAATATGATGATGCCACAATAAAGCTTCTAGTAGGAGCCTAAATACTTTCTGCTCTAGTTCATCCTGAACCTGAAGCAGCATGTCATCGTTTACTTACTCATCCTCTCTTACAGTCAAAAGTTTCTACAGGAGCACAGAAAGGAAAGACTTGTTTAATTAGAGAAGATAAGATGAGCAAGGAGATTTAAGCACATGGGGCTATAACTAAAGCACATTTAAGATGCAAAATGGAACAATCTCAATGGAAACCATATTTGTGAGAGTAAGTCCATGATTCGACAAAAGTTACATCCATACAGTGATTGCATTCGAATCCAATGCCCCAGAAACCTAAGGGTCCACCCTATGACGTGTAATAGAAACACCGCAGGGAGCCTAGTTGTCCTTCTCTAATTGTACGAGACAACCCTTCGATAATCAGAGGACGTTAAAGCAGTGTTGTATGAGTGTGTTCAAAAATGAATGACAGATAAGCACAGGGAATTAAGGAGGAGGTGGAGAAATAATAACTCAAACAACTGGTGGGGGTGTTTGAGATGTTTGAACGTTTGTCGGCTGGATATCCCCATATAGGAACAATGTGGACAATTCTCGTGAAAGACTGGCATCAACTGACAGCCATATTAATATTGTGTCTATGCAATTGGTTTAAAACTTTACTTCACAATTACAATTGCAGGGACAGCAGCAGGCAGAAAGATTGGATGAAATGTCAAACATCAAAAGCAATCTGTCGATGCATGAAAACACAGAACAAAGAGGAATAGATAAAATGCTTAAAAACAATCTCAAAGTAATCCTTTTCCTCAAAAGGCTTTTTCTCCACTAGGCACGAGTGAATATAAAAATTAGCCCTTCAGACTGAATGAGAAGTACACTTACATGCATGACCAACCCATGGCTGTGGCCAAATTACCTGTTCATTATCATGTCCGGATTCACCAACCCATAGCTTTCCTTCAGAATCCTTTAAGCACAAAGCTGTGTGACCAGCATATGCGCCACTGACCCATTTCTCTAGAGTCTCAAAACCACCCCACCTCCCACGAATTTTTGAAATTGCAAGGAAATCACCAGAGTGGATATCATCAACGCTGATGTTTGTAACCCAGGGCTGGGGACGTTGCTCAAATGAAGCTCCCATATGCTTCTTGAGAAAACCAATGTTAGATTTCTCCCCCCACCCAGTATTTGAAAACAAGGGAAACACGTCCCACAGTGCTTGAAGGGTCCCTAGCATCCCGGCTTGCATAAGAAAGATTGACACTCCTCTACTTTTCACCTGTAATCAGAATAATGGAAAACCAAGTGTAACAACTCACCAATATGCATATGCAAGACCAGAAAAGAAAAGGATAATTGCAGCTTACATATTCAAACTCAGCTTTTCCTTCCCACTCGTTAAACTCGAATGTGTGATCGCGAGATAAAAAATAGTAGTCCCATGTGACACGGTATGGGGTTGTGAAGACATAAATATCCATACATGTCCAGCTGTGGGCTTTGCTGACCTGGATGAGCAATCCAAACTCATGGTTACAAGCCGGATACCTACAACTAGTCATTAGTTTCCATATTCAGCAGAACCAAATGCAAAAACAAGGACTATCAACATGAGACAGAAACCAATGGGTAGTACCCACCCAGACTGGAATTACCACCATAAGATAATTTAATTTTACATCACACGAAGCAACCATACTTGTATGAGCAACCAAATCACTAAATCCTTCTTCAACCACTTGAAACTTAGACAGAAAAAAATTAAGTGACCGACCATGTACAACCAATTTGTGGAGCTTTATCAAGTACAAACAAGCAGAAGAAAGGAAAAGAAAAGAAACCTCAGCAAGTGACAAAATCCACTAGAAACATATTGAAGTGAGAACTGAAAAATTCCGTGACTCAGATTCCAACACAATTAAGCAAAATGAGAAAAGAAGAATAATCGGGATCAAGTGCATGGCCCAAACATAGCAGGATATTCTCCAACATTCTTTCACAACTCTATACATAATGGTATGACTGAATGCCTTGGTTGGTAAGAAAAAATACCATAAGTAGATAGAAACCTTATCCAGTTCAGTATTATGAATCCACTAGAAAAATCAACCTCAAATTAGCCAAGATAGAAAGCTCAAAGTAAGCACCAAAGTTACCAAGAATTAATCGGAAACTGCGAAAAGCTGGCAAACGATGGCCATTAGATCCCATCAACAAACCACTACAACTTCACATCTCCCAAAATCATCACAAAATCGAACTGCAGCGAATTGATATAAGCACTAACAATCGATTCGAAAAACCTCAAAAGCTAGTGAACAGTGACCATCTCTCCACATCACCAAACCGCCACAAGCTCAAACCTCCCAAAATCTTCCAGAATCCCACTCAAACCCAAGGATTTCCATTCCACTCCGTTTCCCACTATACACCAAACAAGAACCAAGATTGGGAATCATCACTCCAGTCCATTCCTTTCCCCGATTCCATTCCATTCCACATCTTACCAAACCCGACATAGTAGTCTACCAGAAAACCTCAAAAGCTCGTGCTCAGCTACCACGAGCTCAAAATCCCCCCAAAAATCTTCCAGAACCGCACTCAAAAACCAAACAGAGACGAAGCCAAAAGCAACGCGACGAAGCTAAAGACCGCACCTTGATGTGAAGCGTGCCTCCCCCGAACTCGCTCCCGGTCTTGTTGTGGAACTCCAGCCAAGCCGCGTTGTCGTAGAAGCAAGCTCCCTTCCACTCCAGAGAGGAGCCGTTGGAGGGAGAGGCCGCGCCGACGAAGGTGGGCAGCAGGTCCACGGGGCGGCGGAGGGATCTGAGGATGGGCCAGGAGAGCTGCCGCGGCAGCAGCGGGAGCACGTCCTCCGGGTGGAACGGCAGCTTCGCGGCTCGAGAGCGCGGGTTGAGCAGGGAAGAGCAGAGCGCGAAGAGGAAGAGAAGAAGAAGAAGCAGAAATGGCGGAGGACGAGAAGCCATGGAAACGGGAGAGAGAGAGAGAGAGAGGGAGAGAGTCACAGCTCTCAGTGGCAGTCCACTCCGTCGGAGTCTCCACGTTGACCAGGATCACGTATCAAAACTATACATCAAGGGCAAGAGGAGCAAAATCGCCTTGATTGTCCTTGGACGCTTGGCAATTAGTGCGCTGGCCCATTTGAAAGAAACTACGAAACCGGATCGAAGCATAACTGGAGCTGAAAATATTCCGTGTCTTCATATTATTATACCCACTGCTATATTAATGTCTAAAACTTGTTATTGTGTTGCCAAAAATCCTAAATAATGGCCCGTTGTAATTGAGTATTGAATTCACGGTGAACAACATTTTGGATTTTCTAGAGATAGGTGAAGGGTATTCTTATTTCATACCGGTCCCCACGGGAGAGGATGTAACCTTGTGGGAGATGCTTCGGGACCCGGATATTCTCTGGTCTGTCTTTAAAAGTTCCTCAGGAATATCCTCCCCTCTTCCTAACCTGTGTCTATCACTATCGCTACCCGCGGGTCAATTTTTACCTCACTCCTCTTCCGGTTTTCCTACCAGAAGCTCCATCTCGCACGGAACTCTTGAGAGAAAGAGGGGGGGGTGTGAATTTTTCTTGGCCGCTTCCATAATTCTTCCAACTGTACTTTTGGAGCTTCGTAATGGATCAACCAAATTGATTAATATGGACAGCAAGATGTTAAATTTATTAAACAACTGATGGCCAAAATTAGGGGTGAGTATGGTTTCAGGGTAGAACCGGGAATCGGAGAACTGGATCGATGGAAACTGATTGGGTTCCAGGTTCCAGAGTATGCATGGCAAGTTCTAGGTTCCTGAATAAATCTGTGTTTTTCTTATTCTATGTTTTCACGTAATCTTGCGGTATTTAGACGATGAGTTTGTAATTTAGAACCACTAGTCCGAGCCTTCATTTTCGACGATATCCAAGACTGAGATTTTTACTTTATTAACGTTTCTTATTTTTCGTATGTCTAAATATGAATTGCGGTCAGTTGGTATTCATTAGAGATGATTATTAAATAAGAATACAGGTGGAATCTGAGTAAACCCTCGGAACCGACCATGATTCTAGATATATAGAGTAGGTCATGGACCGATTCTGGAACGGCTCACCCCCGGCCAAAACTACATTTTTCAAGTTCTTTTTCCTTTCCCTAATCAAAAGTTATATGGTTCCCATGGACCACCACCTCAAAAGCGTCGAACGATGAGTGGCTTCTATGAGTACACCACTCAAAAGCCAGGAGAGTGGCTGGACAGCGGACGTCGTTAGACAGCGAGATCAAACTCTGGCTTCTTCCTTTGTTTTCTTATTTTCTTCTATTCACTTTTGTGCGTGCCTGTGCGGGGCTCGTGTAGAAAGAATGTGCGGCACGAATTCGCACGAGAGAGTCTGAGTCCTAGAAAGGACCACGCAAGCACAGTCCGAGCCACTCCATCTAACCCTCCCCATTCCCCTCCACAAGTCTTTTCGCTCCACTGAATCGTTCCATGGCCGCTATTCCGACTTTATATATGTCATCTCTCGCCCCCTCTGTTCTAATGGTTTCTCTCTTCCACAGCAGCCTCCATGTCTGTCGCATTTCATCACAAGTTGCCTCATTCTTCGGTGATCCATGAACGAGCTCACTACGTCCCCAAGGGCCGCGTCTGTTGCTTGGCAGCCACCACGACCAAGCCCCGCCCCAACCCGGCCGAACTCGCCGTCGAGCCGCGGCCATTGACTGCTCCGGCTCCGCCGATATCGCCGACCCGCCCGATACTCGACGACCCAACGTTGAAATCCACGTGGGGCCACCGCGCGTGGCTTGCCTGCGGGTGCACCACCGTGCTGGTTGCTCTGGCCAAGTCGGCAATCGCCTCGGGTGAGTCTCACGTGTGGGCCGAGCCCATCTTGGCGGGAGCGGTCGGGTACGTCCTGGCGGACCTCGGATCGGGAGTCTACCACTGGGGCATCGACAACTATGGCGACGTGTCGACCCCGGTCTTCGGGAACCAGATAGATGCCTTCCAGGGCCACCACAAGTGGCCCTGGACGATCACCAGGCGCCAGCCGGCAAACAACCTCCACGCACTGGCTCGTGCGGTGGCATTCGTGGTGGGCCCGATCGACCTCATCTGCAACGACCCAACGATGCTCGGATTCGCGGCCGCGTGCTCGGGCTGCATCATGTTCAGCCAACAGTTCCACTCGTGGGCCCACAGCACAAAGAGCAAGCTCCCACCGCCAGTGGTGGCACTGCAGGATCTCGGGCTGCTCGTGTCGCGGTCGCAGCACGCGGCCCATCACCGGGCGCCATACAACAACAACTACTGCATCGTGAGCGGGGTTTGGAACGAGTTTCTCGATGACCGGAAGGTGTTCGAGGTGCTGGAGATGGTGCTGTTCTTCAAGTTCGGGCTGAGGCCGCGGTCCTGGAGCGAGCCGAGTTCCGAGTGGATGGAGGATGTTGAGGAGGGACTTGCATCAAGTTGAAGCTTGATGTGCTTCCTTTTCATGTTGGTTTTTGGCAATTGACTTTTTGAGTCTCAAGTCACTGTAATCGTTCGATTAGGCGGATAGCAATTCTATCTCATAGGGAAAGGTTTAGTGACAAATGTGCCAAACGTGCCAGTAATATACATTTGATTATATTTTTCATAATTATTGTACATTGGATTTGATTTATGACGCGAATTCCAATGACCATTTTACGAGGAATTTCCGATATTTGATCTTCAGGGTGCGTGAAATGTAAAAACTGAATAATCCTGTTTTGGGTTATAGCCACAAACTCGGGATAAGAATTCCAAGGTAAGGAAACAAGCAACAAAATCCTAGGAGCGTGCCGTGGCCAGAAGGATCAACTCTTGACCTTGTGATGCACCTCAGGTTTTGAACAACTCAAATTAGGAATTCAGCATTTGTAATAACAAATGAGAACCTTAGGATCTCCGAGTTTGAGGAAAATGATGGGAAAAATCAACGTTACCGTGAAGACTGAGTAGCAAATGGAAACCTTAGGATCTCAACTGCAACGCCACCCATCTTCGTCAATCTTCACATAGGTGACGTTGGAAAATCACCGTTGCTTAGCTTGAGGAGCGAGTATGGCAAAACAGATAATGTAAAAGGGGACAATGACATTGAAAAATAGAGTCTAATGACCACAAGAAGGCCTTGAAGTGCCGATGGCATCTATCGACAGCATGGGGTCGAAAGGGAATCAAAAGGAAAACGAACAAAGAAGACTTTATTCCTGAACTTCTACAACATTAGCTCCCGATTCTAAATCTCTCTATGGAGAGTTGAAGTAGATTATTCATGCCGAACACTAGCTCTGGACGCCCAAATGAATCTTGGAACATTATTCACAGAACGAGAACTTTCTAGAGTACATTATAATGGATCCAGCATTGCTGAGATCACCCTGGAATTAAGCTTTATAGCGAGCCACGACGGATTAGTTGAACGACAGATATATGGTATAAGTAATAGAAAATGAAGAAAGCTATCACCAAATCAGAGTGGCGCAGCGGAAGCGTGGTGGGCCCATAACCCACAGGTCCCAGGATCGAAACCTGGCTCTGATAAAAGCTTCACAGAGTAGCTTCCCTCCACTCCTGTCTTCCCTTTTTTTATCTTTGCCTTCTTCACCATCTCTTGCCATCCCACAGTTTCTCTCTCTTTATTGTTTTTTTTTTAAAATCTTGTAGGTCAGCTATACTCTCCCACCTTCCTCGTGGTTTGTGAATTCCGAGAAGACTGGGGAGAGATTTTCTCAGCTTCGGTTGCGATTGCAGAAGGAGGAGATCAGAAGTGACTCTCAAGTCTCTTTTCGGGCAATGTCGAACTTCGGTCGCGAGAGCCCAGTTCTCTGTCCACGCTCATCTTTTGCATTCAGGCCCAAAAGATCCACAAAACGGAGCAACACCAGACATCTTTTAGGCAAATAGACCAGCCCCATGGGCTTGGTGGCTGTTCTTAGTCTGTGGAAACCCTTTCCCGCCAAGCACACGCTCCTTTTGTCCCGCCACTACGACACTGTCCCACAAGCAGAGCACTACGATTGACAATCGCGTAACTCTGACTCAGTTCGCTCCTTGTACGACACAAATATCCATCTCGCTGCTACAAAGCGCAGGTATCAACATCTCTGTGTTCCGAAAGCAGTCCGAGATCTCAGTATCTCTTAGATTATGAATCGATGATGACGTATAGAACATATTCATCCCCTATCTTTTAGGCTAAATGCCCTAAATTATAGATGTTACATCATCAGCTTTTCCTTTTTTTTTGTTGCCATAATTAATGGAATACTTGATTATGCTTTTTTAAAAAAGTTTTACGGTTTGATTACATTTTCGTTACAAGTTTCGAAATCTTTATTTTGTTCATTTTATTTTGATAAGTACTTAAATTAGAGTCGATTTAAGCAAGTGAGTTGGTCGACAACAGTAATGTTTCGGATTCAACGAGGCTGATTATTCATCGCGTGCATGTTTAGAACTCCAAAATGATCGAGCTAGACTTGAGTATTCTTCGGTCTTAAAGTGTTTTTCTTTTAATTTTTTCTTGGTGAGATGAGAACTGTCAAGTTGACCTTCATTCCTGTCAAACCTCTGTCCATATGCTGCGGACGGCTCGAAGTGGCCAGACTGTAAATTGACGGATGTTTCGGCCCTGATTATGGGAAACTACCTAAAAACGGAGGCAGAAATTTTGCCAACCAGAATATTGTCCGTTAAAACATCGACGTTTTGGTCTTCTCTCTCTCTCCAAAAACCACAAAAAGAAGAAGAAGGGTTTAGCCCTTTCTCTCTCTGTGCTCTCTTCTCTGCTCCAGCTCCATGGCCACACTCGGCGCCTCTGCTTCAGTCGCGGACCCACTTGCCCAACGCTCTTGACCGAAAAGCCCCCTCGAAGGACGCCTCGCTCCATCCTTTCAGCTGCCTCTGTAAGTTTTTCAAGACTGCCAAGACGGCTCCTTGCGCTGGTAAGCTCGGCAGAGTCGCGGAGGCGATGGCCATGGGAATATCCTCCACCGCCGCGCAGAACGCTCCTTTGGGGCCGTACTGCCCATCTTCCCTCTCCTTGCTGCGGTCCCGCCGCCCCCGGTTCTTGCTCAGGAGGGGGTCGCCCGCTCCTCGTTTGCTCTGGATCAGCGCCGAGTCGGTTCAAAGGTCTCTGCTTTTCTTTCGATTTGTCCTCTGTTGTGAGATGTTCTGCTTGGCTGTTTGTTTCCGCTGTACTTGTAGCTGATTGGATAGCTGAAAGGCCAGTATTTTGTGTCTCTGTAAGTGAAGTTCGTGTCTTTGTGTGCATGTGTGTGTTCGGCACTGGCACTTAGGTGTATGCTGGGTTGTCATCTTATAGTTGCTGTTGTTGTTCTTTACCGGCTTGCAACTAGTTCACTCGCGCGTACGCAGTGTAGTTTTTTGGCGATTTTTTGCCTGGAAATTTTAGGATAATAGGACAATGCAGTTCTTGGTGTGCTGTTGGAGTTGAGGTTCTCGGGGCGAAGTAGAGTTATGCGGGAGGAAATTGTGTATCTGCATTCTCCTTTTTGTATCCATACTACAAGTTGGCTTGTGCAATCTTGAGTGGGATGCTAGAGTATTTAAAGTATTTTAGGCGGGCAGGAGAACTTTTGAGGACATGCTTTGGAGCAGTCATCCAGGTGGATTGGTAATTAAGTTGTGTCTTCTCGATAACTATAACCTAGCTGCTTTGCTAGTCAAGCAATAAAAAAGAAGAAATAAGAAATTTTGAAGGGACCGTAATAAGAGAAGGAAAATCTGGATGACAGAAGGTAGGGATTTTTCTGGCACTTATGCATGAATATATTTGCGTTGGTGACTAGAGGCTCTATAATCTAACTTGCCTACAACGTCAATGTGCTCAAGCCACCCAATTGATAAACCATTTGGTCTTAACTTTTTCTTTTTCCAGTCATATTTCTTGTTCAGAGATTGATGTTGTAATTCTTGGCAGGGGGGAGTTTTGCCAAATACAAAGTGCTGGAGACACCACTTCTAGAAGCAGCTTGCTTGATGGTTCTGCAACTTCTGGTGAAAGCAAACGCTATAAATATAATTCTAGTTCTTCAGCTAGGATGGTAATTAATCCAACGAGTCACTCGATTGATTATAAGAACACAAGTTCTTCGAATTTCTCTAGCGGGTGGAAGGGAGCTACTGAAAGTCTACGTAATTCAAAGCATGGTTATGGACATAAGGGACATATGTGTAATGACAACTCACATGGGGGCCCGGAAACCATAAGAATGCCACTTGATGGGGATGGTAGCAAGTACAATTTCCTTCACGTCGATCGCCATCGCTATGAAGAGAGTAAAAGTAGGTCCACAATGAATGCTCATAACATTCTTAACACACGTGCTGCAACTGCTGTCCCATTTTCTGAAGTTGTCACTGAGGGAGTGGATACCCATGAAAAGGCACAGGATCTTGTACTGCCTGATTCATTCAATCATGATCTGCAATTCGATATCCCTCAAACCATTTCTTCAGGAACTTTGAAGACTTCCCATCAATTTTCCCCATCACCTAAGTCAAGGGAAAATATTGATGAGAAGAATCTTGAGGTTTCTGAAATAAATGGAGAGAAATCCGTCGATGCAGCTACAGTGGATGTAACGAGTTCCAAAACAAAGGAAGTTAAATCCGTTGATGCAACTGAAGTAAATGAAGAGAGAAAGGCGAAGCTCAGAAGCATATATGGGAAAGTTCTGATTGTTAATGACAAGTCCGTTGCGAAAGAAGTTGTGAGGAAGCTAACAAATCAGTACAAGCATCTAGTACATGCCTGTGACACAGAGGTTGGTGTGGTTATTCATTGTTATGTCTTCTTTTGTTATTGTTTCCCATTCCTCCTACTTAGCTGAGCATAGAGAAGCTCTCGTTCGTTTTCCCGCTATGGACCAAAGCATTTATTACTTGCAAGTAAATCTGTGCATGCTGAACTGCTTTGTAAGTATTATCCATCGTAATCATTTGTAAGCTTTCTTTGATGTTTATGCAGGTAGCTAATATTGAGGTCAAGCAGGTAACACCAGTTGATCATGGAGAGATGATATGTTTCAGTATATACTCTGGACCTCAGGCTGATTTTGGCAATGGAAAATCCTGTATCTGGGTCGACGTTCTTGATGGTGGGAAGGAACTTTTGCTTGAGTTTGAAGCTTTTTTTAAAGATCCAGACATTAAAAAGGTAAACAAATATGTACAAAATATACTTGGACATATATGCGATTTATTATCTCTCTTTCTCTCTTTCCCCTACTTATCTTCCACCGTAATTATTTTGGGCAGATGAGAGTATTACAATTTATTTAAAACTTTTCTCTTCATCAGTCTCATTTGTTTCATCATTGGCATTTTGGGTGTATTATTTCTGAAACGATTGTCTAAGAATTCCTTCTGTAGGTATGGCATAACTACAGCTTCGATAATCATGTTATTGAGAATTATGGAATTAAGGTTTCTGGATTTCATGCGGATACAATGCATATGGCACGCCTTTGGAATTCATCAAGAAGGACAGAGGGTGGGTATTCTCTCGAAGCACTAACAGGCGACCAAAGGGTCATATCTGATGCAGAACTGGGTAATGAGAAAGAGTTGATTGGCAAAGTATCAATG